TCAAACAGGTGCCATTAATACAGGTAACGAGTGGAGGACAGAGGAGCCTCTTAAAGAAGAAGTTGCAGGTCTGTGAAAGCCAGAAATCTTGCTTGTTTGTAGGTGACCAAATACTTATTTTCCACCATAATTTGCAAATAAATTCATTAAAAAATCCTACAATGTGATTTTCTGGATTTTTTTCTCTCAATTTGTCTGTCATAGTTGACGTGTACCTATGATGAAAATTACAGGCCTCTCTCATCTTTTTAAGTGGGAGAACTTGCACAATTGGTGGCTGACTAAATACTTTTTTCCCCCACTGTACAATAAACATTCGGGTCGGCCCTGTAGTGTGAATCAGGCATAGTGTGTTGGGGTCAGGTATAGAGGATGTGTCTGTCAGGGTTGGGGTCAGGTATAGAGGGTGTGTCTGTCAGGGTCAGATATAGAGGGTGTGTCTGTTAGGTTTGGGGTCAGGTATAGAGGGTGTGTCTGTTAGGTTTGGGGTCAGGTATAGAGGGTGTGTCTGTTAGGTTTGGGGTCAGGTATAGAGGGTGTGTCTGTTAGGTTTGGGGTCAGGTATAGAGGGTGTGTCTGTCAGGTTTGGGGTCAGGTATAGAGGGTGTGTCTGTCAGGGTCAGGTATAGAGGGTGTGTCTGTCAGGGTCAGGTATAGAGGGTGTGTCTGTCAGGTTTGGGGTCAGGTATAGAGGGTGTGTCTGTCAGGTTTGGGGTCAGGTATAGAGGGTGTGCATCTGTATTCCTGATCCATGAAGAACGTGAGTTTAACAGCAGCGTAGGATCGTTGCTAGGGTTGCATATTTCCGGTATCTTTCCCCCAAATTCCCCAGTTTTCTTAGAAATCTCAGTTAGAACATTTCTGGAATCTGGCAGAATTAAGCAAGGAATCCTCCGACCAGGACTTCTGGATAACCAGAGAATTCGGGGGAAATTACCGGAATTTTGCACCCCTACATAGGACCGTTGCCATTCCATAGCATGGTATTAAAACAGACAAGACCCATCTTCACCGACACCTCTATCAGTACAGCCTAAAGTGCACAAAGTGTGTTCTGTTCGCATTCGGATAAATGGTAAATTCAATCTTCAACTAAAGCTCATCAAGTAACATACAGTATTCACTCAGTGGCCAGTTTATTAGGTACACCCATCTAGTACGGGTCGGACCCCCCCTGTAGCCATGAAGGGATGCATCTGCAACAATGTTCAGACACGGTGTGGCGTTCAAACGTTGCTCAACTGGTATCAAGGGACCTATAACGTGTGCCAGGAAAACATTACCCACACCTTCACACCACCAGCCTGTACCGTTGACACCAGGCAGGATGGGGCCATGGACTCATGTCTGCTTACGCCAAATCTTGGAGCCGCTTCTTCTGGTTTTGAGCTGATAGGAGTGGAACCAGGTGTGGCCGTCTGCTGCAACAGCCCATCCGTGACAAGGACCGACGAGTTGTGCGTTCCGAGATGCCGTTCTACGCCGTCTTTTGCCTGTTTGTGGCCCGCCCGTTAGCTTGCACGTTTCTTGCCATTCTCCTTCGACCTCTCATCAACAAGCTGTTTTCGCCCACAGGGCTGCCGCTGACTGGACGTTTTTTTGGTTTGTTGCACCATTCATGGTAAACCCCTAGACACTGTCGTGCGTGAAAAGCCCAGGAGGCCGTCCGTTTCTGAGATAATGGATCCGGCACGCCTGGCACCGACGATCACGCCACGCCACGCCATGCTCAAAAGTCTCTTAGGTCACTCGTTTTGCCCATTCTAACGTTCAAATCGAACAGTAACCGAATGCCTCGATGCCAGCCCGCCTGCTTTACATAGCAAGCCACGGCCATTTTCGTGAAAGGGGTGGTGTACCTAATAAACTGTCCGCTGACATTATCTGTGTGCTTTTGGCCAGGGCCCGTAGGGTATTGCGGCACTATGTAGGGAAGAGGGGGGCCATTTGGTACGCTGCCTTTCATTCCATTGTGTCGTCTTGACAACTCCTATTTCATTGTCACGCGTCATGACAACAATACTTTTAAATGACATAAAAACCATGACAACAATACAAGAGTTGGCAAGACAGCACAAGCAGTTCTAGAATTCAGGCTAGGGTCGGGAGACATGACTTTCCTCTGTTAAAGACCCATGGTTTAGATTCTAGCCTGGGGGGGGGGGGGGGGGGTTGTCTGCAATAAGTAAGTTAGCGACACAGTGACCTGTTTTATCTGACCATCGCAGCATTGGACAGTTAGGCAACGTGTGTGTGTGTGTGTGGGGGGGGGTATATGTAATACAACAGAGAAGTCACTTTATACAAATGATTTAGTTAGTGTATACATGTTATATACACAGCATCCACAAACCTGTACAGTTTTTCTAGTGTATAGCTTTTGTTCTAAGCATTACATAGGAAACCGTATTTTTTTTTTTTTTTATAGCATTAGACACCTTTTGCCTCTACTCTGTAAAATAGAAAACTAAATTTAAAAAAAAGGCACATCTGAGCATGATGCATGTGTTGTTTCAGTCTTCAAATTAAAAAGGTATTTTTGAGAGAAGAGGACAAGGACCTCTGGCTAATAGAAACAGGCTCCCCCCCCCCCCCCCCCCCCCTCCCCCTCTCTGTGAATCCAGATATTTCAAAACAGCTACTAGGGGGAGCTGTGGAAACAATTCCACGTTTGTCCACTAGGGGGAGCTAGCGGTCTCTTTGTCCCAGGCTTTGGTGGGGTTGATGCGTGTGACACCTCCAGTGCTGAATTTCCCATACAGAACCAGAAGGCTGGTCCAGTACTGAGGATGACGGTACTAACTAGTCTGTAGTGCTGGACAGACAGTAGAATGCATCTTTAAGGGGTGATTCGTTTCACTTAAGACATCATCTTGGCTTTAAGGGGTGTATTCATTAGCAAAGAAAGTTGCAACAGAAAACATTTTGTAACGGAAAAACAAGTTTCTTTTTTTAACAAATTCGGGTAGGTCCCTCCCCGTTTCACTTTGCATCTGTTTGGTCCCTAGTGAACACACCCCTGGAGATGGCTATAAAAAGATCCCCTAGTCAGACCATTACTCTGCTCCAGCTGGCTGATAGGTGTTATTAGGTAGGTACTGTTTGGCGTAGCACAGTCAATGTTCGACCAACCTTAACTTGTTGATGCAACCAACGTCTTCTAAATGTCCATGTATATGTAGTTGCAGGGGGTTCATTTTAATTTAGTAGTGCTGAGCCATGTGTTTTTTTTTTTTAGGTCGGTTCGGTTTCGGTACAATTATACAAAAATAATCACGTTTTTTTTAATTTCGGTTTCCATAATTTTTAAAAAACATTAAATGCACTATGCGTTATGTAAAAACACAGAATAAAACAATTAGTAAAAGTCCCATGATGGTAGTGACTGCCCATTACTGCTTATCACTTAACCATCATTTATTCACATCACTTTAGTCAAATTGTGTAATACTACATTAGTTTTAATTGATTACTTTATTATTTCATTCCAAGCCTCATCTCTACAGAGCTGCTGCATGTGCGGTCTGACAAAAATCACTATTTTACTAGTTCTTCAAAGTAAATATAAGGCATATTTCTATGACTGCTGAATACCAACTATCAATAACTTAGATCATGTAATTTCAGGTAGAGATAGCTCGAAGCAACTGCCCTCAATCCCTCTCGATTGCACTTTTCTCTCTCCGGTCTGTCCACAGACTGGACAAGTAGGCGTGCAATGGATTATGGTAATTGTAGTTAATTACCAAGTTGTCTGCCCTAAACTATGTATAATATTGGCCTGTTGGAAACTACAACCCCCTTCTACATCGCACAGTTCGGGGCTTGATCGGACTTATCTCTAGAGAAACTGCACATTGAGGTCACAGAAAAAAAAACCCAGAATGAAATGGAATTGAACCGATGTCAGTCAATTAGTTGTTTTACCCCCCCCCCCCCCACAGCATTTAAATGCTCAGCACTAGAATTTAGAAAATGCTCCTTTATTTGAAATAGACAAGATGGCGGCATTCACAATGTTGGATTACTTCATGGAGCAAAAAATTGATTTAATTTAATAACGGTGCATTTTCTAAATTCAAACGTACCCCCTGCAATTAGACATGGACGTTTAAAAGACATTGGTTGTCTTCCAAGTCGGCAATTGAGGATTTATCGACAAGTTAAGGCTGGTCGTAAATGATCTGTGCTTTACGCCAAACAGTACCCTAACCTGTAACGGCTAATGGACCATCAGATTAGCCTGTTACAATCTGATAGCTACCCTGGACAGAGAAAGGTCTGGCTGTTGTTGTCACCACATCACTGGCAGAGAGAGAGAGAGATATATCCCAAGGTTGTCGTCACCCTTCCTCCTCTTCCTAGATCGGAGCTGTTTGATAAGGTAGACTTCACAAACGTTGACTTTGCCCAAGCTCCATGTGCAAGTGGAGAAAAGACACGCCGCCCGTCCGTCCGTCCGTCCGTCCGTCCGTCCGTCTCTCCCTCTAGCGGAGGCCCACAGAGGTCAGTGCTGTGGGGTTAAAGGCAACATCTGAAAATGGAGGGGTGATTCTACGACCAGCAGGGTTGTGTGTAGCTATGAACTACAGCCACGACCCCATGTCCAGGGCTACACGGTTCTCCTGTACCATCCACAGCCCTGTGAAGACCGCTGTGCTCACGACCATTACAGTCACAGCTCTATTCAGTCAGTGCACAGTGAAAAAAGGGGGAAGGATTTCAGTGGTTCAAAAGGTCAGGTTGGGTCTGAACGTACGTGTGAAATTATCCATTGCGTCTATTTTAGTTAGTCATTCCTCAAAACACGAATCCCTTTTACCCCTGCATAACATAGGACTGGCCACTAAGTTAGAGTTGGTAGAGAAAACCATAACACAACGGGAGGAGTTCAGGGGGGCCTCAGACGAGAACCACAACACTTTGCTTCTCATGCTTGCTCCAGACAGAACCACAGTAAAAAAAAAGACTGTTTGATAAGTTTGATCATAAAAAGAGCATTAAGGTCTGAATGGTCCAGAGTGTCCGTCCGTCCGTCCGTCCGTCCGTCCGTCCGTCAGCCACAGGACAGGACTGACTGAGTCCTGGGTGAGCGAGTGAACGGTGCTCTTGGCATTACCGTGTGCCCCAAATGCAACAATGCCCATAGAACCACACATAGCATGGCGGTGAGAAGTGCTGCCTGCCCGCGCTAATGGAAGTCTCATACACTGGTCTGAATACTCTAGAAACCACCAGGACAGGCCGGGAGAGCTCAGAGCCCCTCTCCTTCCTGGGGTCAAAGCACAGTGTCTCTTTGGGGGGGGGTAGGACAGCTTCTTCTGGAGCATGGCATGCTGGTCCTGTCCACGCTCCTTACAGAGTGGGATGTCTATATGAAGAAAGTGACAGTGTCAGTGTTGTGTACAGGTGTGTGACGTGCACTGCGCACACGCAGAGCAGGAGGAGGAGGAGTTTGAATCAGTGTCTTGAGGGCTCCTTGTTCATTGGCTGGCACACTGGTGTGGATTTCTCATTGGCCCAGAGGGCTTGAAATGAAGGTGGGGGGGCCTACTGATACCCTGAGAGGGAGTGGCGTGGTGTGATTGGTCAATGTAGGAGATGAGTGGGAGGGGTTTGGAGTGTGGTTGGAAACTAAAAAGCAAGTCTTCTTGACGATCAGTAGCTTTTAAATCATGATTAGTTTGTTTTAAATTCGCTCCGTGTCATGAGTTCATAGTTTGATGCAGTTTGTATTGTGTGGAGCAGCAGCCATGATGGATGACAAGAAAAACAACAAAAAGAAGCAAGGAGGCTCCTCATTGGCTACCCTCCGTGCTCTCCACCAATGAGAGGCTCTGTAAAGGGGGCGGCAACAGCTCCCTCTTGTAGGTCTTTGGGGGAAGTTTGGGGAGCTGGGAGGAGGAGTTGTGGCGGGGAGGTACGGGTGGGGCCATGATGGGCGGGGGGGGGCGGGCAGAGACTGTTCTGGCTGGCGCTGAGCGGGCAGCTCCGTCGGGGGACGCGGGGCGAGGGGGTACCCGGGGGCGTTCCAGGGGAGGAGGGGGAACTGCCAAAATCCCAGTGGAAGCGGCTGACGGGGGAGGGTTGGAGGTTCAGGGGGTAGTTAATGAAGATCTCTGGTGGTTTCTGGGGGACGGGGGGAGGGGTGTCTGGCTGGGGGTCCCGGGGAGGTGGTGGTGGTGGGCTGGGGAGGGGGCCATCGCTGGGGCCGTTGTAGACTGGGGCGCGGGGCTGGACCCTTGGGAGAGGAGGGGGCAGCCTGGGGGGGATGGCTGGGGGGCTGTCGGACCTGGAACTCAACTACAACACACAAAAAAACAGGTGTCAGTGTTGATAACCAGTCAGATGGACTAACTCAGAGAAACGTCTTTAAATGGTGTACTGTACTAAGTGTGTGTTAGCTTGGCCCCAGTAAAACTTGAAGTTGCACAAGGCCTGACTCCGAACTTGTACGGTGTGTATGTGTTACCTTGGCCTCAGAGAACGCATCCTTCCTGCGAGGGGGAAGTGGAGGAGGTTTGAGTAACTCCTCCCCTAGCTGGTGAAGGCTTCCACAAGATACTGAGTGGAACTCTACACATGTACATAAAAGGAACATAGGTATAATCAATCAATCAATCAATCAATCAATCAATCAATTAAAATGTATTTATAAAACCTTTTTTACACCAGCAGTTGTCACAAAGTTCTCAGACATAGACTGGGGCAACAGACTGGGCGGCCGGTAGCCTTGCGGTTAGGAGTGTTGGGCCAGTAATTGAAATATTGCTTGATTGATTCCCAGAGCCGACAAGGTAAAAATCTGCCGTTCTGCCCTTGAGCAAGGCAATTAACTAGTAATTGCTCCAAGGTCGCCGTCAATAATGGCTGATCCCCTGGCTGTGTCCCCACTCTCCAGGGGCCTCAGGGGGAGTGGGAAATGCAAAAAACACATTTCCATTTCACACTTGTACGGGTTACCCACATGTACAGGTTACCCACATGTACAGGTTACCCACATGTACAGGTTACCCACATGTACAGGTTACCCACATGTACAGGTTACCCACATGTACGGGTTACCCACATGTACGGGTTACCCACATGTACAGGTTACCCACATGTACAGGTTACCCACATGTACAGGTTACCCACATGTACAGGTTACCCACATGTACAGGTTACCCACATGTACGGGTTACCCACATGTACAGGTTACCCACATGTACAGGTTACCCACATGTACAGGTCACCCACATGTACAGGACTATATAAGCACCCCCTAATTATTATTTATACTCAATGAGAAATAGACTGCCACAGGACACTGGGTGGAACGCTACACAGGACACTGGGTGGAACGCTCCACAGGACACTGGGTGGAACGCTCCACAGGACACTGGGTGGAACGCTACACAGGACACTGGGTGGAACGCTACACAGGACACTGGGTGGAACGCTACACAGGACACTGGGTGGAACGCTACACAGGACACTGGGTGGAACGCTACACAGGACACTGGGTGGAACGCTCCACAGGACACTGGGTGGAACGCTACACAGGACACTGGGTGGAACGCTACACAGGACACTGGGTGGAACGCTACACAGGACGGGTGGAACCTACACAGCCTGGTGGAACGCTACACAGGACACCAGAACACATGAACCCAGTCTACCAGAACACATGAACCCAGTCTACCAGACACCAGAACACATTAACCAGTCTACCCAGACACCAACCTTACCCAGTCTACCAGACACCAGAACACTTTAACCCAGTTACCAGACACCAGAACACTTAACCCGTCTACCGACACCAGACACATTACCCATCTACCAGAACACATAACCAGTCTACCAGACACCAGAACACATGAACCCAGTCTACCAGACCCAGACACATTAACCAGTCTACAGACACCAGAACACTAACCCAGTCTACCAACACCAGAACACATAACCCAGTCTACCAACACCAAACACATGAACCCAGTCTACCAAACACATGAACCCAGTCTACCAGACCACATGAACCCAGTCTACCAGACACATGAACCCAGTCTACCAGACCACATGAACCCAGTCTACCAGACCACATGACCCAGTCTACCAGACACCAGAACACATGAACCCAGTCTACCAGACACCAGAACACATTAACCCAGTCTACCAGACACCAGAACACATGAACCCAGTCTACCAGCACCAGACCACATTAACCCAGTCTACCAGACACCAGAACACATGAACCCAGTCTACCAGACACCAGCACACATGAACCCAGTCTACCAGACACCAGAACACATTAACCCAGTCTACCAGACACCAGAACCCAGTCTACCAACACAGAACACATGACCCAGTCTACCAGACCCAAACACATGAACCCAGTCTACCAGACACCAGAACACATTAACCCAGTCTACCAGACACCAGAACACTAACCCAGTCTACCAGACACCAGAACACATGAACCCAGTCTACCAGCATACTCCATAGGAAGGCTGTGTTCTTGTTTGTCAAGCTAAAGAGCTCTGTTTCCTAAATACTAAACATAGACGGACACACCTCAGCACACAGAACTAACAGTCAGTAACTCACTTGAGGGTGGGAGGAGAACAGAAGTGAATATGGAGTTTCCACCTGACATAAAATGTCCACATAGAGAAGGCAAGCCACCTGTAAAATGAAGACAGACGTTTAA